AACATTTTTTAAACTTAAAATTCCCCCCCAAAAATGGTTTGAGGTCCCCTCACCCCCACATACATACAAACATAAAACAAACTAATTGGGGCACCTACACATGAAAACGTTGATTGTGATACATGTTATATATTGCCGCAACACACGCCGGAATAACTGCAATAATTGTAGCACTAGACCTCCGTAATGCTAAACGGATGACCTATAAGGTGCTTTAAAAGCATTGCCTATAGAAAATCTAGAGTACTGAAGTTTGTTGGCATTTCACGGTGGAAATGGTGGAACATGTAACATGTTCCCGCTCCTGCAGTGGCTCGACAATCAGAGCTCTGTTTGCGACAGAAGTACAGGGAGAAGTTCCCTGTACCTGCTGCCACTTTTCGAAAAGAGTACGGCCATGTGGGGCTCCGCCTACACAAGCGCGTCATTCATTCATGAATGTGAATGAATCAACTACAAGTACAGACATCTTTTGCAGAATCAGCTTGTAGTTCTCAATGAACTACCACAGTGATGTTGAGCGCTTTGGTAGTTTAATTCTTCCTGTCAGTGTGAAATTGTCTGCCTGTGCGATGTATGATGTACAATGTATGGACAGACATATTACATTGACAATCTGCAGGAGTCCTGCATTGAACCAGCGAGCTGCTGATCACTGGTGCAATACTTTCATGCTTCTAAAAAAAATGTAAATGCACATTTTTTTTCTACCTGCATTTATTTATTTTTATCCTTTAACGGAGCACAAACCAGAGCTAGATTTTCACTTTATACCTTTATTAAAGGGAATGACTATAAGAAATACACTCACAAATACACTCACAAAAGAAATGCCTGTCACCCGGCACCAGGTGTACTCAGCCTTGGTGATATGCACTGCAGGCACTTCTTTTGTGACTGTATTTCCTTTAGTCATTCCCCTTAATAAAGGTATAAAGGGGTTTTACGCTATGGAAAGTTCCCTTCTGTTTCTTTATATATGGTGACATATTGCATAACCTGCCTGTGGAGGAGAGGAGAAAGTTGGTTTCTTGGAACTTGTCTATTATCAGTCACAGTCTACCCCAAGGAGAGGTGGTTACCTATTGTGGCAATCCGTTCACTGGGATAGTCCCAAAAGTATGTATGACCATTCTAGAGATAGGTGGTCATTGGATGACGGTGAGTGTCAGACCATATGGGGCACTATTTTGAACACAGTGGAGCACCTGTTATGTTGTGTGAAGATTTACAATCAAGATATTAAGGAGCTGAATACTAGCACTTTACACCAATTTCCCTGTTTTGGGATTGAGTTATATTGTATTTCTATTGTTGTATGCACATAGTATGCACAATCCCTGTGGCTATCATGAACCAGGTAAATCATGCATGCAGGTCCAACTGTTCTCTAAACCCAGCTTATGCCTTGGCAACAACATTTAATACTAAAATCCAATCTCTGCAATATGAATTTTGATTGATTTATATAAGTTTTAGGCTCTTTGGTATATTAAATAAAATATTATTTTTGTTACATATGGCAACTAATTTCATTTAATCCATTCATTTAGCAGAAAATTGCTAGTTAAAGGCAACAAAGACAGTTTTGCTTTTAAACACTTCTGATATATAAGGCTTATGGTTTCCATTAGTACCATCATTTCCACGTTTACTGTATTTGTAGAGCACCGTGAATACAACCATGTGATTGTATAAACATGACAGTTTTTAGAAAACTACATGTCAAAAAATGGAATATTAGTCCAAGGCTAAAGAAGGTTTGCAGTCAAATCAGTGTAATACTGCTATACAGACCAGGGTAACACAAATCTTGAAGTAAGTAGCACCTACATTTTACTATATTCATTTATTTTTATCAAAAGCTAACAATTGTATATAAATGTCTATAACAATAAGAAACATGATTTCAGTTCAATTCTTGTTGCCATGAAAACTTATTTGTAAGATCAATTTGTGTAATACTCTTGTGCTACCTGTAACCTCTATATAGATATTGGTGTAACCAGCTGACACTATCATGGATTCCCAAACTGCAAATTGATGCAATAGTAATTAAGTGCCATGCTGCTACTATCCACAAAACGACTAAAATTGTAAGCGCTAAAGTAAACATATAATATCATAAACAATTACTGAAAAATATCAAGATAAAACCTAATTAACTCCACCTGTGTCAAAATATACACACTTTTATACAAATACATATTTTCAAATATTGTCCATCATGCTGGATTTTTTTTCTTAAAACACAATGTGCACTTCCTATATAATCGTCAGCAAACATGCTAGTACAAAGTAAATTGGTGCAATAATAAAGTGCCACACTACTACCACCTGCTACTTATTTAAACCAATTTGCAAATGCAATAATAATCACATATACAGTGCAAAAACAATTACCATGATATAAATATATTTCTGCGAGATATAACTATATTCTCTGTAGGATGTTTAACTTTTTTTTTTTTGCTATACTTCAACAATATGAAATAAATGAATACAGACAGTATTTATGACTGAATACACTAGGGGGCACTGTTCACAAAACAAATTCACTAAACTGCTGATAATAAAGAGCTTGAAACAAAAACATCCAGTTTGGGACTTTTTTTCATATACTGGTACCTAACCAGTAACTAATACAGGATGTATTATAGCAATAATTACATTAAAAAATGTTAAACAGATTAATTATTCAAAAAGGTGTAAAATGATCACTAACTGAGTAAACACACAATAGGGTTGATCTACTAAAACTGGAGAGTGCAAAGTCTGGTGCAGCTCTGCATAGAAACAGATCAGCCTCCAGGTTTATTTATCAAAGAGTAATTGAACAAGCTGAAGTTAGAAGCTGATTGGCTACCATGCAGAGTGGTACCAGATTTTGCACTCTTCAGTTTTAATAAATCAACCCCAATATGTTGAGGGCTTTGAAAACTGTTCAGGTCTCCTTTCATGCATTGTATAATAAAGAAACATATTTTTTCACAAATACTTAAGTAATAGTTGATATTATCTACCTAAACATACAAAATGTAAAATACTCCAAGTGTAAGAATGGCCAGGATTTGATTCCAAGATTTGTGAAGATAAAAGAACAAAGAAATGATAGTTCATTTAGGAATATCATGAGCATAGTCTGATTAGCACCCTCTTAAAGGTGCCCATATACATGAGATGACAGATTCCTGATCCGGGCTTTGTCTGCAGCTCCAACATTCCCGGCCAACAGATCTCGGGGAACACTCATCAGGCAGTTCAGAAGCCCTTGTCCAATCAAAATTGTTTCCCCAGAGATTAGCAGCAACCAGGACAGCCTGCAGTGTGTGTGCTGCACATCCCCCTCCTTATACTCCTAGCCTAAGCAGCAATGCTCCTGCAACCCAAGCATTGCCGTTTGGGGCTGAAACTAAAAGAATTGTGCCTGCAAGTCCATTTATTCTCTGAAGCCTGTGGTTAGTTTAACATGCACTGAGCATTATGAAATTTCCAGAAGCAGCCAACCCGTAACAAATGTCCCATCCTATGTGAACCATACTGACCTTTGTCGTATAGCAGCTAAACAGTGTATGCAGTCAGAGATTGTAACATGGAATTTTCATACAGTTCCTCAGTTTGGCACTGCGTGTGCCAGAACAAAGCACCACGTTGAATGCCTATTACCCACTCTCATACGAACAAAGCAATGTCTACTAGGCAATGTGCTGTGCTTGTACTCTTTTTCAGCAAGTCAACCATTAAGTATACTATTGTATTTGCAGGCCTTGCATGTGAATACTGGGGTAAGAACCTATCACCTTGAACAGCTGTCCCAGTGTCTACAAAAGCAAGAGACAGTTCTGGGACAAGAGGTAGGTAATTATTTCTTCCAATTCCAAAAAGGATCCCCTGAGACAACATTTTTACTATACCCCATGGTAAAAATGCAAAGCATGGAGTTGACTAACAAAAAGGCTCCATGTGTATGGCAGGCACATGTACATCTCCTTCTGTGCCCTGAAATGTGGGTACAGCTTACAACAGTTCTAGCTTCATGTTTAATTTTCTGTGTTTTCTATGTTTTCTCACAACAGCATTTTAATTCATTTTCTTGGTTATTGTACCATAACATAAACATTTTTTAAACCTAACACTGAGTTCATTACAATTAATTTTAGACTACTAAAAATACATTTTAAAATATACTGACATTTTAAAAATGTATTATTTAAAGTTAGGTGGATATTAGTTATGGCAAATGACTGTGTTCTCATATCCAGCCAGAAGGTGGAGCTGTAAAAGCCATTTCACTTGTATTAAACAGCCTTAAATTAAAGAATAATTCCAGGAATCACATGCTAATGTGTAACTATGTATATGCTATAGCTGTAGTAGACACTGCTACCCCGGTGATCTCCACTTGCTCACCAGTCCTGTGCCAAGCAGCTGCACCTCTGCTTACTGAACTCAGGAGGTAGAACGCCTGGCATGCATGCCACTCAGAGAATGCTTACCATTTTCTGAATGAATGCAAAGCATTCTCTGATAGGACGAGGTGGGGGATGATAGGACGAGGTGGTGATGATGTCATGCTCTCCACCTCATCCAACCAGAGGACCCTTTGCATTCAATTAGCCTTCTGTGCATGCTGTATCAAGCAGCCAACCTCCTGTATACATATTGCATCAGGCCAACCACTCAGCACGAGACACAGAAGCATGCAAAGATCACTGAAGTATCGGTGTCTAATTCACTGATTTCCAGCTTCCATGGGCATTCTCCAGGAATGGTGTAAACTGCATGGTTACATTGGTCCAGTCTGGACCAACCTAACTATGTGAAACATAATGATGCCATGCTGCTTGTACACTCACAGACTACTGTGCCAACCAGCTCCAGCGTCCCTGATCATAATAAACAATGCAGCCAGCCCTGTCACCTGACCCAAAGCGCAAAAAAAAAACACCATACCAATGTCCTGATCCCTGTCATAACAGAGCCCTGATCATCATCATACCCCATACCAACACCCTGATCACCACCATATGCCATACCAGCACCCTGATCAACGCCATACACTATGCCCTGATCACCACTATACCCCATACCAGCATCCTGATCACCCTACATGCCATACCACCATCCTGATCACCATCATACCCCATACCAGGATCCAGATCACCCAATACGCCATACCAGCATCCTGATCACCCCATATTCCATACCAGTATCCTGATCACCCCATATGCCATACCAGCACCCTGATCACCGCCATACACTATGCCCTGATCACCACTATACCCCATACCAGTATCCTGATCACCCTACATGCCATACCACCATCCTGATCACCCATACACCATACCAGTATCCTGATCACTGCCATAACCCATACCAGCATCCTGATCATCCCATATGCCATACCATAATCCTGATCACCATCATACCCCATACCAGCATCCAGATCACCCCATACGCCATACCAGCATCCTGATCACCCCATATTCCACACCAGTATCCTGATCACTGCCATAACTTATACCAGCATCCTGATCACCCCATATGCCATACCAGCACCCTGATCACCGGCATACCCTATGCCCTGATCACCACTATACCCCATACCAGCATCCTGATCACCCTACATGCCATACCACCATCCTGATCACCCCATACACCATACCAGTGTCCTGATCACTGCCATAACCCATACCAGCATCCTGATCATCCCATATGCCATACCATAATCCTAATCACCATCATACCCCATACCAGCATCCAGATCACCCCGTACGCCATACCAGCATCCTGATCACCCCATATTCCATGCCAGTATCCTGATCACTGCCATAACTTATATCAGCATCCTGATCACACCCCATATGCCATACCAGCACCCTGATCACCGCCATACACTATGCCCTGATCACCATTATACCCCATACCAGCATCCTGATCACCCTACATGCCATACCAGCATCCTGATCACCCCATACGCCATACCAGTATCCTGATCACTGCCATAACCCATACCAGCATCCTGATCACCCCATATTCCATACCAGTATCCTGATCACTGCCATAACCTATAGCAACATCCTGATCATCCCATATGCCATACCAGCATCCTGATCACCTCAAATTCCATACCAGTATCCTGATCACTGCCATAACCTATACCAGCATCCTGATCACCCCATATGCCCTACCAGCACCCTGATCACCGCCATACACTATGTCCTGATCACCACTATACCCCATACCAGCATCCTGATCACCCTACATGCCATACCAGCATCCTGATCACGCCATACCAGTATCCTGATCACTGCCATAACCCATACCAGCATCCTGATCATCCCATATGCCATACCATAATCCTGATCACCATCATACCCCATACCAGCATCCAGATCACCCCATACGCCATACCAGCATCCTGATCACCCCATATTCCATACCAGTATCCTGATCACTGCCATAACCTATACCAGCTTCCTGATCACCCCATATGCCATACCAGCATCCCGGTCACCCCATATGCCATACCAGCATCCCGGTCACCCCATATGCCATACCAGCATCCTGATCACCCCATATGCTATACCAGCATCCAGATCACCACCATACCCCATACCAGCATCCTGATTTCCCCATATGCCATACCAGCATCCTGATCACCTTCATACCCCAAACCAGAATCCTGATCGCCTCATATGCCATACCAGCATCTTGATCACCACCATACCCCACACTAGCATCCTGATCAACCCATACACCATAACAGCATCCTGACCACTGCCATACCCCATACCAGCATCCTGATCACCCCCATACCCTATGCCAGTGTCCTGTTCACTGCTATACCTGCATCCTGATCACCGCCATACCTCCTGCTAATGCCCTGATCACCATCCTACTCCTTACCAGCGTCCTGATCACTGCCATATGTCATACCAGCACCTGGCATTTTAGGGTCTCAACTGATCAATTTTCAGATATTTATCCTATACTTTGTACACAAACTAAAATATTATACACTGTTTTGGATTATTTTTGCTCCACAAATGTAGCAGAATACATTTTGCCCTACATTTATGAAGACAAATTATTTATTTGCATACGTTTATAACGAAAACTAAGCAAAAAATTATTTTTTTCAAACTTTTTAGTATTTCTTCATTTATATAGCAAAAACTAAAAAGCCCAGTGATGATCAAATACCACCAAAAAAAAGCTCTATCTGTCTAAAAAAAAAAACTGGCCTGGACTGGAAGGGAGGGGGGTGCCCAGAGTCTGCACTAATTGTTTAAAACTGCTCACAGCAGTCCCCATCATAACCACCTTCCTTCCAGTAGCTTATCTCTCCTAAGGTGGAGCAGCAATATGACTCATGTAGATAGGTATTACATTTGAACTATGGGGGTTATTTACTTAATTACAATACTTACAAGCTGAAATTAGAAGCTGATTGGATACCATGCACAACTGTACCAGATTCTAAGTGCTCCAGTTTTAGTAAATCCACCCTATGCAAATTTCAGTTTGATGCAATAAACAGGGCTGAAGTGCAATGTCCCACTTCGGCATTAGCAAAAACAGAATTAAAATTAGCAAAGGGAAGAGCAGATATGTGTACAATGAGGTAGCACTGCAAGTTACAGAGAAAGGATAGGGTCACTTTAACTAAGAACTATGGGCTGGACCCCAAATAAAAATAAAATGGAGCATGGAGACACAAGAGAAGGATTGCTTCAACTAAAAATCGGTTTTACCTAAACCAACCAGGTTCTGCCTTTTATTTTCACATCTGCACACACCACATCTGGTTAGTATAGGAAACACAGGTAGTTCTTTCTTCAGCATGTGTTCCTCAATGTGTAGGAACAGTGTTTCTTTATACAGAACATGGCAAACTGTGTCATGTAACAGTCAGCTCCTGCATGTCCCCAGGAAGGCTTTATCTTCTGATAGTGCTATGGTTTCTGTTTCCTTCCTCTGCCTTGTCCTGTCTTAGTTGTGATCCATTTCACCACACGTTAAATGATTTAGTGATCCTGTTACATCCCTTGAGACAGGTTACGTCTTTCTGACTTTAATTAATAAATTAGCCAGCAGCCTCTCTAAGTAGTACTGAAACATATCAAAATAAGATCTACAGCCAATTAGTAGACGGTTCTCCTATCAAATGGGACCACAGATTGTGGACTAAAAGACTAGACATATCAAAAGAACATATTTAAAAAGTCCAAGACATTCCAACAGCAGGTTAGTACATGGATTTATTTTATAATTGACACTATTTAGCATGCCATATGCATGCAAATGTTACAGGGTCACTCCAATTTCATGGGAAAAAAATATAGCAATGTAAACAAAATAATATAGCATATATAGTTGTGACACAAACCATATTATAATTTAATGTTATTCAAAATCCCCTTTCCCTTTCAATCAACAGTGCACATAACAAAAGTGGAGTTACTATTTAAGGCATAAAAATTATTTTTTTCTATTAAGCTCGCCATTAACTAGTAGAATTTCATGAAAATGTAAAATTTTGGAATGTACTTTTGATTTTCTTAAAGTTAATAGGGTCGATGATTTGATGTTCAGGAATTGATGTTCACTTTCAATTGTAGTGATAAAAACATTCTAAGGAGAAGGGTGGAAATTTTTTTATCAAACTAAACTCTAACTGTGAATATTGTTTTCGTTCAGGAAGAAACTTATGAAAATTCATACATACTATAATGAAATCTTTTTAAAACATCTGGGATTTTTCATACATCTGGGATTACCATCAAATAGATCTAGACAAAATTTTAAGAGCTTTCGAACAAAATGAGTTGACTTAATGTTAGCAAACAAGAACGTTCTAAGAATGTTTTGATGAGAATTTTCATATGTTCATACAAAACTCTGTTAGTGTATGGTCAGCTTTAGACCACTATTAAAGGAGACAGATTGGTAACAGTGGGTATAACTGGTTTAGTACAGTAAAGTTTGCCACTTCTTAAGACGATTCCTCTAAAAGACTGGATGATGGAATTTGATTTGTCAGGGCTTTCAATACCTTGCTGAAAAATCCTTTGGACATCAGGTTTCATCTTTAAAATAAAGCAATTAATCTGATTGGCTAATATGGGTCCTGCTTTCGTATCCTCCCAGTTTTCTCTTTCCTTTATATAATCTGGTCCCAATTTTTATGTGTGCACAAAGTACCAACATAAAATATCATATTAATTAGTGGAAAGCAACCTGAATGTCAAGGTCACAAAAGGTGTGCCTGTACTGGACATGGGGGATTTCTCGTTCTATGGTTGGCTATAGGATGAAGTTTATAGCTTGTAGTACTACTCTAGGTTCTTCTACCATAGACTTAGAATAAACATGGCATACAAAAAAGACACCGGGCATTCTGAGCACATGATGTGCACCAGGTTCTTACCCAACCAATCAAAAAACGATAAAAAGTTAAGCTGGCCATAGATGGGCCAATGTTTCATTAGTGATGGCAGGTGTTAAGACAACCTATCATTCTCAATAATAATAATATCTCAATGACTACATTGCCAGATCCCTCCATGATGTTCTCCTAGCAAATCAGGGTTAGCAGTGCATGTATGTTAAATGCTAAGTGCCTATTTGATGAGCAATCAGATAGTTTATTTCAACGTGCAACAAGAAGCACTTCTAATGGTCAAACAGTCTTGTTACCACATACTAATGAAGCCATATTGACTTAATCTCCACCTGTCACAAACACTGATTGAACCTGAAGAATTACCTTAATCATGGTTCTCCTTAGATTGTCTGGATATAAAACAATTTAGACAGGCAAGAAGAAACATAATTATTTTTGAGTAACGCTTGTGTTTCTTTAATGCTGAAATAAAACTAAAGGCAAAACTTTTTTTTTAAATTTTGGGTAGGGTAAGGGAGGATTATAAATTATATGTCCCATAGCCAAAACAGGAAGTGAGAGGAAAACCCTCCAAAGTCAGGGAATCCCAGGGTGTCACCAGGGTCACCAAAACTAGTGCCCCCATTGGAAGGTTTCCCTCTATTATAGTTCTGATATCAACCTAAAATTTAGAATTTTCTTTTCCTTTCACTTTGGATGATAATGATAAACAGGACAAGAGAGAGGATTAAACTCCCTAATAGGAACACAGACAGAATTAAAAACTGATAGGTGTTCTAATTCCACTCCATTGTGAAACTAAAAATAAAATGTTTTGACTTTAACTACACCTTAAAGGCAAAAAAAACAGTGAGAGATTTACTAAAATTGGTGCATACAGAATCTGGTGCATCTGTGCATAGTAACCAATCAGCTTCTAAGCTTGCTCAGTTAAACTTTGACAATAAAACCTAGAAGCTGATTGGTTACTATGCACAGCTGCACCAGATTCGGTATGCACCTGTTTTAGTAGCTCCTCCCCATAGTGTAGGATTTGTGGTAGGATATTTGAATAAGAAAAAAAAATAACAAATTAGGTTAACATTAGAAAAAGCCTGAATTAGTTATTTATTTTTATATAGGACAGAAATAGGGTATAAAAACCAAACTATATTCTAAAGCAAAAAAATGTTAAAAATAATTTAGATTGTGAATTCTAGATACCTACATTTATCACAAATTCAGTTAATGAAAAGCACAAACAAAATAAAACAAAATAACAATTAATTTGGTTGCAGACCAACAGAAGGACAAATAGGAGTGCCGTGCAGTATTAGCACAACACTGACATTGGTGCACAGGCTGTACTTGTGATCCTTCATTCTTTTCCATGTGAAATGTCCCCCTGCGATAATGAGCACCTCCAATTGCCTGAGGAGCTTGTAATTGCCCTCTAGCACACCACAAACCATCTACTGGCTGTAAGCAGTGCTCAAAGTCAAGAACATGGCTTGTTGCTATCATGTCTTCTACTGCTAACCCTACAGAGAAAGCAATGTCTATTGAGATTCACTTTATCTTGCTTCCTAAGCCTGAAAAAATATAAAGGTGCCTGTAAATATTAAAGCAATCCATAGGTGATTTCATTTTCTTTCCTGCAACCAACAGTTATTGTTGATGGAGGAATCCCTCCTTCATAGCTCTGTTCTGCCAGCGGGGAGCCTTCCCTGACGGCAGAACACAATGATTACTGCCAGCAGCTATAGCTGCTGGCAAGAATTTCACACAAAAAATCAAACAGGCTGGTTGTACTGAAATTGATCGATGGATTGACTTTAGTACAACCAGGCTGCCCATACATGGATCAAATCTCAGCCAATCTCTGCTGAACCCGCTGAGATTCAATCCACCTGTGGCAGGCTTTTGACATGTTTGTTGCCCAATCTAGCCAAATATATTTGGATCAGGAAACAACTGTGTGTCTATGGGCACTCTCCAACCTCAGAAGACATCTGGATTATCAATCTCAAGGAAAGAACCAAGCACCATTTATTTTCCAGTGCCGGGTGTTGCAGGTGTGTGC